ATCAGTTCTTAATTTCATCACTGTCTATGTCATTTCCCAGACAGAAAAGTGTAACAGTACTTTTCCTCTGGCAAAGTATCTACAATGAGGGAATCCCACCTTCCCATTCTTTCCATCCTTATTTTACACAAAGGAAATTAATAACAGTGACTAACAAAAACAAGGTGCTTGTGACTAGTCTCACTTAGAAAATTCCTTCAGAGTTCTTGTAAATATTGAATGAAGCCCAGAAATATTCTTTTTGTGAGTGTGAGTGAGTGAGTGTGTGTGTGAGCGCGTGTGCGCTTGTGTGAGTGTGTACGCACATGACTGGAAAGGTCAGAAGAAAACCTGCACAATTGGTTTTTGCAAAAGTCAGTTTTCTCCTTCTACCCAATGTACTGAGGTCTGAATCCAAACTTGGCAGCGAGAGCTTTTACTCACTCCGCCTGTTCCCCAGCCCCAGAAGTATACTTTAACTCCACACCAAGAAACTGCAGTTCTAAAACTCAGAGTGCATTTTGGTGTGGACCAATTCATTTCCCCAAAGTGAGACATGTTCAATTTAGATGGATGCAGACAAGGAAAACAGCAAAAAAAGATGAAGTCCAGAAAGCAGTGTGGATGTGGACAAAGCCAAGGACTACTAAACTGAACTTGGATGGGATTTAATAATTTAAAAAAAAAAAATCTGTGTCCTCAGATCTCAAACATGGGCAAGTTTCACATAGGGATTTCACATTGGTTCTTTTCAGTACTCTCCGGCATCCCATAGCTCTCCCCTACTTAACACCTAAAGGAGACTAAATAATTACTCAGGAGCTTTCCTATGGGCTGATCAAATTCAGCAGTTTGAGTCATTAAAGCTTGAACATTTCCAGGGCATTGGTGGCACACGCCTTTAATCCTAGCACTCGGGAGGCAGAGGCAGGCAATTGTCTTTGAGTTCGAGGCCAGCCTGGCCTATAGAGCTAGGACAGCTTTCAAAAACAATACAGAGAAACCCTGTCTCAAGAGGGAAAAATAAAAAGCTTAGACATCCTACCTTTGCCAACAAGGATTTTCTGCTGTGAGATAAAGAAAACAATATTCTGAGCAGTACATTCATGTCTGGGTAAGTTCCCTCCATATCTGTCTGTACCAGGCTTTATTCTTTACACAGCTCTAACTTGTTTTAATTATTCAGTATCATCTTTCTGCCTTATTATAGGCGGCGGCAGCGGCACCACCACCCCTTCCCAATCCTGTTTGTACATATTTTGTCCTGTTTGGGATGGAATGAGAGGATGGTTCCGTTAATCATGTAGACCACAGTAGACACTTGACTTTTAACTTCTCCATATTTTCTGCAGACACTAAGGTCAACACTGCCATTCTGATTATTTTACCAATTAAACAAATATTAAAAAGGACATTCATGAATAAGTGGACTTACCGCTTCACCCGCCCAGTACTCTCCTGACTCAGTTCTTTCATTTTTTCTTCTATTTTGTTCAAAAGCTACAATGAAAAGAAATCAGTGGGTTTAGTGTATAAATTGCATAGAACAGCTAAATTATAGAGCAGAGGCATAAGGCTATACTGACCACATTGTGATATACTGGCCCATCACATGCCCCTTTATGCCTACTGGGACTTCCTGCACTGGCCTAATTCACATACTCCCCCACTAACTCTCTCTCATGATGGTACCCTAACCACAGTCTGAATATTCCAAAAGAATAACTGGGAAGAAAGCTGAAGGATACTGCAGGTGCAAAACTGTACACAAAGGTTCTACACGAAGGTTCTATATCTCCCCCCCCCCCTTCCCCCAGTGCAAAGTAGAAGCCGTTCCTTGCATTCAGGAAGTTAAAAGGAAAGCTAACAAACCAGCTGATGATTAATTCTTCTGTCAAACTACTTACATGAGGGGACGCTAGTTTAAATTTCAGCTAACCTGAAAGTCAACATTCATGAAGCTAAGCAGAATTTAAGAAGTGAAACACACAGCACAACATTTTGAAAGGGAAAAAAATGAAAACCAACACTGTCAGTTTCTTGTTTGCCTTGTGCGTCACTGTCATAACTCTGAAGGTCCAGCAACACCAATCCATGTGGATAAATCCTCAAATTGGCAAAGCTACAAAAGAAAGTGTAGTTGTACTGTTAGAAACTGTTACCAGGGCACTTCGAAGAGAAAAGATGCAGCCCCAGTCAAGACTATAAAATGCACAATTCTTTTTTCTTCCATGTCAGAATTAATTCTCTGACCTTTCAATTCCAGTTGAGAGGTGAGCCAAAGTTATGTGTGGAAGATTTAAAGGCCTGGGCCAAACAGTAAGCTTTTAATTTTACTTCTTGGGCCCTGAAATGGATCTAATTCTTTGACTAATGCATAGTATCTAAGTATAAATCGATTCACAGCCTATGAATCTGACTATGCGTGTATATGTGGGGGTGGGAGGAGTTGACCAGGAGTCCCAGGCCACCTCCCAAGCACTGAAACTACAAGCACGTGCAGCCTGCTTTTGTATATGGGTTCTCAGGGAGAACACAGATCCTCACAAGGCAAACACTTCACCATCTGAACTATCACCTCATCCCCTGTGAGCATGTGACTTTTAGTTCTGTTTTTGGTTTTCCTGAGCAGGACTGTCCGAGTATAGCTGATATACACCATGTGATTCCATCTTGAAAAAGAGCAAAGGGGGGGGGGTGCTTCCTTCTCTCAACAGGTGTTAATTAAAATTAGTTTCTTGGCTAGCTAGGGATAACACTTTGTACCCACTTACTCTTCTCCAATGCTGGAATTATATCTGGCTTGAACTTCCTCGGGCACTTGATTTTTAAAAAGGAGATTCTGTCAGGTTTAGTTAACCAGGAGGAGGGGAACAATGCAAAGGGCAAAATCGGCTCTTCCAACTAAACTTCAATGTTTATAAGAGAAGCAGTCATCCTGGCTGGAAGGCTAAAAATGCTGTGCATTTTGAAAGAGTTGTTTAAATATAAAAGAGAAAAATGTGTGACAACAATATCGTTAGTATGTTTAACCTAAAAACTTACTTACTTTCTGCCAGTGGTGGCACACGCCTTTAATCCCAATACTGGGGAAGCAGAGGCAGGTAAACCTCATCTGTGAATATGAGGCCAGCCTGGTCTACATATAGAGGTCCAGAACAGCCAGAGCTGTTACACAGAGAAACCCTGTCTGAAAAAAAACTAAAATAATAATAATAATAATAGTAGTAATAATAATCATCATCATTGTCATCATTAAAAATGATATAACTAATAATGATGATGAAATAAGAACTTACTTTCCACACTGGTCCCTTTTTTCATTGGCCTCAGGAACTCACCCGAAGGCATTCTTTAGACCCAAAATACACATATCCCCATCCTCTCACACATGCTTTCATTTTTATTCATTTTGCTTTCAGAAATAATTTCTGAACAATTTTGTCATTCAAAAGCTCCTTTCTGGAGAAAGAATAATTCTAAGTTCTCTGTATACAAATGGAATTGGGACTGGAAAGATAGAAAGAACACTGTTTGCTCTTCTATCTAGAGGACCTGGGCTCAATTCCCAGCACCCACAAGGCAGCTCAGAACTGTCTGGTCTCCACAGGCACTACATGAAAATGTTCCAAAGGCATACATGCATGTAAAACACCAAAAACACAGAAAAAACTATTAACTTTTTAAATAAAAAACTGAGGCAGGTAAAACTTGGCTACAGAAGCTTGGGAGATGGCTAAGAATTTTCCCCTCTGGGTAAAGGAGCCTATCAAGCAGCAGAGTGTGATGCTCTGATCCACCCAAAAAAAAAATGGACAACAGCAGAAACAGAGTAAGGTGACAGTGACATGAGACACTGAGCTGGAGAACAGCTAAAGGCCCTCTGCTTTTGGAAGCCTCCTAGGTAACTGAAGCAGAGCACAGGAGAGTTGAGGAAGGCTGGCAGTTCTGTTGAATTTTGGCCACCCTTAAGGAAGAAGTTATCAATTTAAATATATCTAAGGCAACTGCTAAACATATGCATGAAGGCTAGCCACATAGCCAGAATACAAGTCTGGGCTTGGCCTATTTTTGAGAGACACTCCTACCCAGCTCATGCCCCACCCCGATTATATTCCTATCTAAAGTCCAAGATATCACCTTACCTGCCATTTTTGTTTGTGTAGGTTGCTAAATAGCCATGGTCCTGCCAGGTGTGCACTGACTCTGCCATCCCCTGCTCCTGAAAAATGGATTGAAGGCCTTTCAAAATGGCCTCACCATCAGCTGGAAGACAGAAAATAAGGGAAGGTAATTAGGAAAAAGACATGCAGAAGAAAAGCTAAAAGTTGGGGTAGAGATCAGTAGTAGAGCACTTGCCTAGTATGGCTGGGGCCCTAGATTCCATACAAAGCATCACAAAACATTAAAATTAAATAAAAAGTAAGAAAAGTTAATGTGATACAACTTCATGACTAAACATTACAAGAAAGTCTAAATATTCTCCACCCTGTACGGAAAGGCCAGAACACCTGGCTACCTAATAACATAACTGACCACAAATAGGTTTGCCAAAGACACAGGGAAATAAATAACCACTCAATGAAACTAAAGATTTCAAAAGAAAGAGATCCCATTTTTAAATAACTTAATGGGAACACATAGTCCTAGCAAGCAGGTGCATACCAATTATTGATGAGTCTCATTAATAACAGGATTTTGTTTTATTTTCTGAATGTTTACAAAAGGAAAGTGTTGATCTCATTATCAGGGAAGGACATTTATGGTAGCCTTTTCACTGTTGCTGAAATTGTTAGTTGAAGTCACTCTTGTAGGTCTCTAGACATTTCTTCAGGTTCAGTTTTCTCTTCAAACCTATAACAGCTCCCACTTTCATGGTGTCTCTCTCTCGCTCAAATGGCTCCCTCTTTCTCCTATTCCTCTCCAGACTCAATCTTCCTAGTCCCATGTGCTTTCCTCTCCTCCCCTAGTTCCCTCTCCACTCACTGCCCCCGCCCCGCCCCACCCTACTCCCCATGTTCTCTGGAGAACTTGTCCCTTCCTCCTTCTGTGATGGACCTTATATAAATCTTTTAGAATCCTCCTTGTATCCTAGTTCCTCTGGTGGTGAGAGGGCAAGACTAGGCTGCAGAAACACAGACAGCTTATCTGAATAAGGAGGAACTAATGGGTCCCCAGACTGTTAGCTGGGAAGCCAGCATGGGACTGACTCAGACCCCCTGAACATGGGTCTCAGCTAGAAGGCCTGAGCAGTCTAAGGGACCTCAGACAGTGGAATCAGGATGTATTCCTGGTGCACAAAAGGACTTTGCGGGCATATCCCCCATGGAGGGATACTCCCTTAACCTGGAGACAGTTGAGAAGTCCTAGTCCCTACTCCAAATGACTTAACAGATTTTGTTGACTCCTCCTAGAGAGCATCACCCTACATGTGGAGTGTGGGAATGGGAGAGGAGGGTGGTCGTGGTGCGTGCGAGGGTAGAAGAGAGGGAAAGAAGGGAGAGGGAACTGGGATCCATAAGTAAAATTAAAAAAAAATATTAAATTAGCTGTTCAATGAAAACTAACTAAAAAAGAACAAAACAAAACAAAGGGAAACTGCTACTGATAGACAAGAAAAGTAGAAATGAACAGGTGATATCTAGTAACATACTTGAAAACATCCGAATTGAAAGAACTTAGATCACCTCCAAGACAAAGCCTCAAATAAAACAGAAAGGAAGGACACAGAATAATGTCATACACCCTTCCCAACAAAAGCAGCTGGAAATACAAGCAGTAACCCAATGAATCACTGAATTCACTTCCTAGCAAAACTGTACCTTTGGCAAACCCTTTTTACAGAAACCAATCCAGCTTGCTTTGCTCTTCTGAAATTGGCTTTAGGAAATTAGAAGAAATGCTGAACTGTATCTCCAGAACTACATCATTTAAGACAACCTATCTCCCCTAAAAAGTATTTCTGGGAGATGGAGAGATGGTTCCATAGTTAAAAGTACTGGCTGTTCTTTCTAAAGGACCTGAATTTGACTTCCAGTTCGCACAGGGTGACTCACAACCATCTGTAACTGCAGTTCCAGGCGGGATCTGACAACTTTCTGGCCTCTAAGCACTGCATGCATCACGGTGCACACACACATTGTGCTGGCACAATATCATCTTACGACAAATTGAAACATAAAATAGAGTTGCCTGAAAGGAGGAAATATTAATTGAGAAAATGCCTCCATAAGATTCAGCGATGCCTCAGCAGTTAGGAGTACTGGCTGATTGATCTTCCTTGGAACCAGGGTTCAATTCCCAGCACCCACATGGTGGCTCATAACTGTCTGTAACTCCAGTTTCAGGTGATCCAACACCCTAACCAGACATACATATAGGCAAAGAACCAAAGCATATAAAATAGAAAATAAATCACTATAATTTAAAAAAAAAAAAAAAACAGCTGGGCAGTAGTAGTGTACGCCTTTATAATCCCAGCACTCTGGAGGCAGAGGCAGGTGGATCTTTGTGAGTTCCAAGCCAGCCTGGTTTACAAAGTGAGTTCCAGAACAGGCTACAAAGCTACAGAGAAACCCTTTCTCGAAAAAACATAACAAAAATATTTTTAATTACCTGCAAAAATTTTATTCCTAAGTAATTGATGAGGGCACCATTGTGAGTGGTGCCATCCCTGAGCTAGAGGTCCTGGGTTCTATAAGAAAGCAGGCTGAGTAAGCGAAGAGGAGCAAGCCAGTAAGCAGCACCCTTCCATGGCCTCTACATCAGCTCCTGCAACCAGGTTCCTGCCCTGTCTAAGTCCTTGTCCTGACATTCTTCAATGATGAACAGCAACGTGAAAGTGTAAGCCTAATAACCCTTTCCTCCCCAACCAACTTGCTTTTTGTTCATGGTGTTTTGCTGCAGCAATAGAAATCCTAACTGAGATACACATGCATGCAAAACACCCATACAAACCTGATCATTTATGAACTAAACGTATTCAGTTTTAGTTTATTTGGCACCATAGCCTAATGGATCAATCAGTCCACTGTGCAAGTGACTGAGCTAAGCACAGAGCAGGAAAGAAAACAACACCCAGGCCAACAGAAGCTATCCTAATTGTGGAAATCACTATGTCACACAGTATTCCATGGCTAGACAGATGTTTCTGTTTTTAGGGTGTATAAAACAAATAATCACTCCTGGTAAATGGTCTCATGGCTGTGTTCTTGTTGGCATGCTACAAAACCGAGATGTGATGGACCAGGCTATTCGATGGGCCAGGAACCTGGCCTGAGGAGCTAGTATGAACTCAGTTACATAATCCAAAGAAATGGCATAACTTAGATGTTGTGCAAAACTCTGGATTGCTGGTAAGCATGGCAGCCATCTACTTTTCTCACTGGCACAAGTTAGCCGAAAGACATCAATCATATAGACTAAAAGCAGTCCTCTGGCCAACTTTCAAGATAACGACCATGAAGTAAAAAGGAAATCCAATTTGAAGTGTTACTTTTTTCCACACTATGAGCATTACTACCACCACACACAATTACTACCACCACACACACACACACCAATTCAGTAAAACCAAGCAGATCTGAATGAATATTTATGGCAAGCCAATTCTTTACTTGCTCACATGCCCAGTGTGTTTGTGTTCCTGTGGGTGTGTCTGAGTGTGCCAGCCCTGCCAGGAAGGTGTCTATGAGAGCTATTGGGATCATTCTATTTGCTTTACTGCCCATTTCACTTCACATTCATTTTCTTTTTAAGCTGGGGCCTCTCAGATTATCCCTGCTGCTTCCAGGCTCTAAAGACTCCAGAGTGGAGGATGGGGTTGAACAAACCCCAACAGCCCTTTACAAGAATCAAGGTTTCATGGAAAAACTGAAAGCCAGAGCTTTGATCTCCAGTTCACTTAAAGTTGGGTGGTGGCTACTTATCATGATCTCAGGTGCTCAACAGATGTTGTACAGGTAAATGAAATCCATTTTCATTTGGCTAAACTCAATCATTATTACTCTCCATTGTTTCTAAACCATCTAGATCAGTACTGTTCAATCCTAAATGCACATTATAATCACCGAGAGAATTATTTAAAATTCCAAGCCATTTGCTTAATCAAGCACACTTTTAAAAAGCTCCAATGTGTAGTTGATCTAAACCATCATATGCAAAATAAAAAAAGAACTGAGGGTATACCCCTTTCCATGTGAAGTCTCGAGTTCTATGTACTAAGAAATAAGGAACCTTTACCCAGAATTTTCATACTAGATACATTCATGTTCAAAAAGTTACAGAACATACTCAGGGTGTAAATTTGATAAAAACATACTACTTGCACATTTGAAATTCTCAGGCCACAAAAATAAACATTAGCCAGTTTGAATGTTTGAGGCTGGCCAGAGCTATTATAAAGTCTATACTAATTGAAGTCATAAGTATACCATGAAATAAATGCTCTAGAAAATGCTTTTGTGAATTATTGAGAACCTAACTTTTATGCCTATCTAGTACACAACATGTCGCTTCACCCCCAAAACTGGGTTTGCTTCATGAGCATTCCTCAATACTCAAATTGGGGGTGAGAGAAACAATGTGTGAAGAACTGATTTATCCCATTCAGTCATACATATCAGATGTCAAGGATACATGTTCCTTGCAATAAATAAATAAATAAATAAATAAATTAATAAATTAATAAGGTGCCCAACTGGCCCAAGTTCAAAACCCAGAGGAAAGAGTAGTAATACTTTTAATGCTTTTGAGAACTACTAGATACTCTATACATAGTGAAATAAGAGATAGGAGTATACCCAAATTTGACAATCAAGTTAGAACAGTGGCATCATAAATGCCTACAAAACAGGAGAAAATATTAAGAAGATCCTAAGACTAAGAGATAAATGTACTTTGACGTAGACATAGTAATACAAAATAAGGCCAGTAAACTGCGGTTTGGCAGTTCTGAGAAAATTCATTACAATGGCTAGGCAAGAAGGTTGAGTTATAATATGACCTTTGAATTATTACTAAGAATCTTCCAAAAGGCTCCAAAACACTGTATGACCTCCCCAAGGATAAAAAATGTGTTGTCCAATGAACAATGCAATGTCCCCATTTCTAGGATGCTTCCTGCTTTGTTTATTTGACAATAACTTATGATGATGTGGTCCACATATACCACCACAAACAAACAAACACACAAAGGGAAATAGGAGTGAAGGACAGAAAAAGAACTGAGCCCTAAATTTCAGGCTGGAGAGTGAGGTCAGTCGATA